CACGATGCCACTTGCCACCAGTTTGGCCATATTTCAGAGCTGCAACATCACTGAGTGCCCAAAAGCACAAGGTGTGCAATACTCAGAGACATGGCCAAGGTAAGAAAGGCTGAAAGACGACCACCACTGAACAAGACACACAAGCTGAAAATGTCAAGACTGGGCTAAGAAATATCTCAAGACTGATTTTTCTAAGGTTTTATGGACTGATGAAATGAGAGTGAGTCTTGATGGGCCAGATGGATGGGCCCGTGGCTGGACTGGTAAAGGGCAGAGAGCTCCAGTCCGACTCAGACACCAGCAAGGTGGAGGTGGAGTACTGGTTTGGGCTGGTATCATCAAAGATGAGCTTGTGGGGCCTTTTCGGGTTGAGGATGGAGTCAAGCTCAACTCCCAGTCCTACTGCCAGTTCCTGGAAGACACCTTCAAGCAGTGGTACAGGAAGAAGTCTGCATCCTTCAAGAAAAACATGATTTTCATGCAGGACAATGCTCCATCACACGCGTCCAAGTACTCCACAGCGTGGCTGGCAAGAAAGGGTATAAAAGAAGAAAAATCTAATGACATGGCCTCCTTGTTCACCTGATCTGTACCCCATTGAGAACCTGTGGTCCATCATCAAATGTGAGATTTACAAGGAGGGAAAACAGTACACCTCTCTGAACAGTGTCTGGGAGGCTGTGGTTGCTGCTGTACGCAATGTTGATGGTGAACAGATCAAAACACTGACAGAATCCATTGATGGCAGGCTTTTGAGTGTCCTTGCAAAGAAAGGTGGCTATATTGGTCACTGATTTGTTTTTGTTTTGTTTTTGAATGTCAGAAATGTATATTTGTGAATGTTGAGATGTTATATTGGTTTCACTGGTAATAATAAATAATTGAAATGGGTATATATTTGTTTTTTGTTAAGTTGCCTAATAATTATGAACAGTAATAGTCACCTGCACACACAGATATCCCCCTAACATAGCTAAAACTAAAAACAAACTAAAAACTACTTCCAAAAATATTCAGCTTTGATATTAATGAGTTTTTTGGGTTCATTGAGAACATGGTTGTTGTTCAATAATAAAATTAATCCTCAAAAATACAACTTGCCTAATAATTCTGCACTCCCCGTATAAGGCTTGATTTCACTTTTTTTTATTGAAATTTGTCAGATTGGTTAGGTTGCCTTTGAAAGCGTATGGTAGCCCAGGAATGAGAATTACCCCCATGATTGCATACCATTTGCAAAAGAAGACAACCCAAGGTATTGCAAATGGGGTATGTTCAGCCTTTTTTAGTAGCCACTTAGTCACAAATACTGGCCAAAGTTAGCATTTTTTGCATTTTTAACACACAAACAAATATAAATGCTAACTTTGGCCAGTGTTTGTGACTAAGTGGCTACTAAAAAAGACTGGACATACCCCATATTGAATACCCTGGGTTGTCTACTTTCAAAAAATATGTACATGTGAGGTGTGATTTGGGGATTTATGACAGATAACGGTGTTACAATGTCACTATTGATAAATTTAAAATATATATATATATATATATATTGAAACAGCAATTTCCTACTTGTATTTATAGGCCTATAACTTGCAAAAAAAGCAATAAAGCATGTAAACACTGGGTGTTTTTAAATTTTGAATCTATTTAGCAGTTTTTTTCATTAGCTTTTGTAGATAAGTAAAAGATTTTTCAAGTAAAAGTCCAAAACATGTTTTTTTTTCAATTTTTCACCATATTTTATTATTATTTTTAAAATAAAATATATGACATGATACAAATAATGGTATGTAAAGAAAGCCCTTCCTGTCCTGAAAAAAACAATATATAACTTGTATGGGAACCATAAATGAGAGAGAGGAAAATTACAGCTAAACACAAACACCACAAAAGTGTCAAAACTGCTCTGGTCCTGAACTTACAACATCGCAAAAACAGGCCGGTCCTTAAGGGATTAAAGACAATGAGAAATTAGGTTGTTAACAAGAATCTTCTAGTTCTATATCATTTACAAAAGGCGAGCAAGCAAGAAAGGCAAAAAGCTATGGATGTGTTTGACTGTAAAAAACACACAGTTCTAAGGGTTGTAAGAATATGAAATAGTTAACGTGTTCATATGTATTTTATGCTTTTATAAGGTTTATAAATATTATTGCTGACTGAAAGGATATGAAATAGTTAAACTCAATGTATGACATAATATGCTGACTGTGACAGACTAAGGTATTTCTTCTATAGGATGTAAGACAATGCTAAATTTCAGGATGTCTTGCCCATTCCGATTTCAGGATACTTTTCCCCAGACGTATGCAAAAGCTTATCTTTCCATTGTGAGAATAACGTAATATAAGGAAGTAATAAATCTTATAGTCTGTACTGTATTTGCATATACCATGGCTAAGGTTTGTAAGCAAACTATGTATAAAAGCCAGCTCTGGAATACACTCATTTGAGAGTCTTGTCAACCAACCTGTCCGTGTCTTATTGTTGACAATGATTCTCCATCAACATTGATTATGGTGACCGAGGGATCGAGAACCGAGGGGATTAGAGTCCATTACAGCATTAACCCTTTCAGCTTGGTGTCTAGAAGTGGGATAGATGAAGTGGATCAGCAAAACCATTGCGGTGAGTAGCCTTTTTGTGTCTTATTTGACGCTGATTGTCTATGACCCCCCTTTTGGTTCAGTAAGACTGTATCCAGTAGATAGGAAAGGTGTAAGGACTCTAGTTATATTGAGACCATGAGAGGTCTCCGGTTTATATTGAGACTATAAGAGGTCTCCGGTTTATTAGACATTTGGTCTAAATATATAGGGTTTTGGTAACCCAGGTTAGTATCTAAGATAGATACAGGGTATCTCAGGTAGATACAGGTTTTTGAGACCAGAAGAGGTCTCCGCTTTATTAAGTCTATAGGTGTTCTGAGGAGCACGGTTTATAGATCTATAAGTATAACCCAAACTTCTCTTTCTCCCGGTCACCTTTGTTTGTCTTAAGTGTTCTTTGTGGGTGATTGTTTGTCTATATTGGGGACACACTTTGGTAAGTTAGTAGTGTCCCCACTTTGAGTCAGCAGTATGGGAAATGTGAGTTCAGGTCCTGAGTGACCAATATATGTATGTATATATGTGTGTGTGTGTATATGTATATGTGTATATATAAGATAGCAGTACTTTTAAACAAATGGAGGTTTTAAAAATACATAGGGATTAAGGAGAGAATGCAGGTAACTTGTTTTTCTTTGGTTTTTACCATATATTGGGGCTGATGTGTACTGTAGTCCTTGCTGCTGCCCAGTAGTGATGGGAGTGAGAATTTACCCAGGAACATGGGTAAATTGGACTAGATATCTACCAGCTATTTTAGCTGAGATAAGAATGAATCCCCACAAGGTGACTAAATTATCTCCATTTGAGATTTTGATTGGATGACCTTTTCCCACACCCTAGGCCAGGGAACCGCTTGTTACAATGTCTGGGGATTTACAGCTAATACAAAAACAATGTACAGGAATTGTTGATAAAACCGAATGGTATGTATGACAATGTTTCTTCGCAGTTTTCCCTTACCTTCACAGGAACCTACTCATTCATACCAGCCCGGTGACAAGGTGTATATCCGTCAGCTGAACAGGACCAAGAAAGGAGGATACCCTTTTGGACCACCTGCTACTGTGATTGCTGTACCCGGAACCGCTGTCCTCACAGATTCCCATGACATCTGGATTCACGCATCCCGAGTGAAGCTGTGTCCAAAGAGGGGAACCAAGGAAGACAACACCACTCCTCGCTCGGAAACAGAAGAAGTCCCCCTTAGCGAAGCATCATGGCTTTTACACCATATCGTAGATTGAGAGGATCATACGTACCTGAGACCAAGATTATGTTGTGCGCTATGCTTTCTGGAGTTGTTATACTCCCTCTGATATTGTTCCTTGAATGCCATTATGAGTACAAGTCAATGGCAAGTTTGAAACCTGTTTGTTTCTGGAAAAAGACTCTGACATGATGAACAATTCTTCAATACCCCCAGCCCAATTAGGCCTTAGCCCCTCATCTAGCATTCGTCACACACGCCCCCTCAAGAACCTTTCTCCACCACCTTTCTATCAGCATGTAATATGCAATCATTCATTCACTGAACGCATTTGGATGAATTGGACAAATAGTAACCCTTATAAGTACCAGTTACCCATATCAAATGTGTCCACAGCTAATGAAACCGATGCATTATGTTTGTTTAAAGGTTCACAGAAAATTGTTAGATCTTATAACGCAGAAATTTGCACGGTTAAGGTTGCATATCAATGTAAACAGACAGGCCTTATTACTTTCAATAATGATTATATAACTGGTATCATTAATTGGAAAAGGGGACAAATGTTAGTCATTATGAATGACACTGTAATTGAGAACTATACACTACTTTATATTTTTACACCTTATTACTGTCATTTATCCTCTACCATAGAACCAAAAGTCAACAACGACACACACACACACCTATTCCATCCACATGTATTAATACAACTGCCTTCTTACAAGCTGTACATGTGTCATTAAAAGTCACTACTCCTGTTGTAACATTATGTAACACAACAAACAAAGGCAGAAAAGGGAATGGTATGACACACTGTTAGGAGGTGCTGGAACCACTAAATAGTTATAGATATGGAGACGCTCAAGAATAAGTTAAACACAGCCAGCATGCATATAGGGACTGGTTTCCATGCTACTGCAAACTGTGCTCCAATTGTTGTTAAATCACAGGTTACAGGATTGGATTTAGATAAATCAATGTATAATTATTTAGATAATTTAACTGTTGCAACTATGAAATTCACTACAGGTCTAAGTAACTGGAGTACTTGTGCCATCAGGTATTTATGGATACAACAACAAGGATTAGAGGAATGTGTAACCTCACAGATAATGAATGGTTACTTCTAAAACCCCAATCCACTAAATGCAATGGATGGCTAACTGGTAATGTTTCATATTTTTCACGCTCATGCTATTTTACATTATATCATACATCATCAAAGGATGTTAAATTAGCTTGTCAATTTAACACATTACCAGTACCAGTTTATGATCTTTTTGCCAAGAATTTAACCTGGTGGGCACCCACATACACAGGGGACTATATGTTTTCCCAAAGATAACACACACAGGTAGCCACACATATCCTAAAAGGAGAACTCCTTAAGGTGAGTTCACAAATTCAGAATGATTTAGCCCATCATTGGTACAATGCTTTACTGGTTGGTCCCCTACTGGATCCCAGATAATGAAATCATTCTTCTATCATTTTGTTATTATAGTCCTGATTTTATTGTGTATGATTTTATATAACTGTCACCTTACTTGTACATTGAGGAAGTGAGTACAGAAATTAATCCATAATGCAGAACAGAAACAATTAGAAATTCTCCTCTCTGCCACTGGAGGGTATCAACCCATCTTTAAACTGGGCCTTAGGAATTACCACATGGGAATCGAGGTGAAGAAATTAATGAAAGTCCCGCAGGGAGTGACTAGCACCCCTGAAAATACCATGTGGAAGTTTCTCTGTCCTGGTAAGATTTTATCGATAAGATGAGCAATTTTTTTATTGCTCAAAGAGGGGAATGTAAGAATATGAAATAGTTAACGTGTTCATATGTATTTTATGCTTTTATAAGGTTTATAAATATTATTGCTGACTGAAAGGATATGAAATAGTTAAACTCAATGTACGACATAATATGCTGACTGTGACAGACTAAGGTATTTCTTCTATAGGATGTAAGACAATGCTAAATTTCAGGATGTCTTGCCCATTCCGATTTCAGGATACTTTTCCCCAGACGTATGCAAAAGCTTATCTTTCCATTGTGAGAATAACGTAATATAAGTAATAAATCTTATAGTCTGTACTGTATTTGCATATACCATGGCTAATGTAAGCAAACTATGTATAAAAGCCAGCTCTGGAATACACTCATTTGAGAGTCTTGTCAACCATCCTGTTGTCCGTGTCTTATTGTTGACAATGATTCTCCATCAACAATGATTATGGTGACCGAGGGATCGAGAACCGAGGGGATTAGAGTCCATTACAGCATTAACCCTTTCAAGGGTGTTCAATAAAAATCCCACATACTAAACTTTATGTGAAATTAAGACTATTTTTGCATTATTTGTTTATTCAGGGGAGACCCCAGAATATGGCTTGAATTCAAGATTAATGAGTAGACAAATTGGAATTTCAGCACAGATTCAGAGATTAACCTTAAGCATTCAAACCAGAGCACAATTCAGATAATTTCAACGTTAAAGCAAACTGACTACACACTTTTTTGGAAACTCTCTAAATATGATTCAAAACTGATCCCAATTGAAATGTCAGCAAAGATTTAGTAATTAAATGAAAATGTACAACAGTTTAGTTACACAGATTGCATATTTTTTAATTTCTTTTTTTTACAAACTTCTCTACTTATTTTTCCTTATGCATGTGAATTGATATGATAAAAGGGACACCCTACTTCAAATAACAATAAAGATCCCACAGGGCCCTATGCACTATATTGTCTCATGATCCTTGCAAAGTTTATAGTGGAAGGAGACCTTTTATGTCCTCTCCCTCTCTCAAAAATATCCCAGAAGAGCACTTATGCTTGTCACTGCCAGTACAAGTACTTGTAATTATAGCTCCTGTAACAAAACTGAAATTTAAACTATCAATATCCACTGTGATATTTTTACAATTCTTTATTTTAAAGACAGTATATATTAAACAAAGTAATGCCAAATTCAAAAGGAAAGCAATACCAGTCTCATTTTTACAATAAAAATTCTTCTCTTTGGGGGCAGAGCCAAACCACCAAGCTGTGCAGACATGTGTAGCATGAGCTCCTGCCCGGCGGGCAGCAATTGGGGCAAAAGCCACAACTAGACCATTCACATACCTCTGAGGGTGCACTACCCACGTCGGGGGTGCACCGCTGAACAGATTGATACCACCCTGAAGCCCGTCGGGGCCAGGGGGACCAAAAGACAAGTGCGGCCTACCGGGACAGGGGCCGGGGAGAGGCGACCGCCCTCCCTGACACCGAGGCCCTTCAGTGACGAAACAAGCAACCCCCCCCCTTTGGACCAGGGGGGACATCCCGGTCCACCCTAGACAGACAGGCCGGAACAGACGGCACAAACACAATCTGAGCCGACTACAGAGGCACCAAACCACTGAAACGCAGCCTAAGATGGCCACCCAGCAGGGGCCCAGGAAATGGAGCACACATGCCCAACCACCCACGAACCCCTTGGGGGACTTCGATAGGCTCTGTGCGGGCCTATGGACTATGCTGTGCAACCGCGGGATAGCCTTCCACCATGCGGTGAAAATAGTGGCCACGTGGATTCGCCCAGCAGCCCGATGCCGCCATTACAGGCAACCACTACAGGCGTCAGGAAAGGCAGCCGGGCCACACACAAACCAGCGATCCCATTAACGGACAAGGAAGCCATTTTGCCCAGGTACAAGTGCTTATCCCCACACTCCTAAGAGCGAGACCGCTAAACCAGCCACCCACATAGGAGACTCACCTGGAATGGGAGCCAGTGCTCGGTACAGCTCTGCTCAACCCCTACACGCCACAGCTACAACCCAGGGACCCGTGCAGCTGAACGCCGGACTCCCAGCCCAGGGGTACCCAGGCGGCACAACCCCAATGTGACATCGGGGAATGGGGATTATCCCCACCCCACTTCCACCCAGCAGCAAGACCGGGAGCCCCAAGAGGCCCGACCTACCGCGCACACTCTACAACCGACCGGAGCAGAGACTGCATACTGTTGCCCACCAGAGGTATCGGTTGAATCACTGGCCCCTCCAAATAGAGGCTCTCTAACTGTTGACGAACCCTGTGCCACTGCTGACAAACCTACTCTCAATGATAAGCACCCAGACAGTACATAACAAAACGCGGGATCACACCACAGTGAAATATAGTATGTCTTGACACAGCATGTAGTGAATATAGCAAGTCCTATCAGACTTACGTTTAACTCTTAACGCGGTTAGTTACCCTAGCATGTTATGTTATATAAGCGATCGGCATTAGCCTGGCCTAACTGAACCATATTACAGCAATCACAGTATGTCTTAACTCAGCCTGTTGTTAATTTAGCATGTTAATTTGTCATGTTTTATCAAACTTACGTTTAACTTTGGACACGCCTAATCACACTGGCAGGATGTGTTATGTTATATAAGCGATCGGCATTAGCCTGGCCTACTTGAACCATATTACAGCAAACACAATATGTCTTAACTCAGCCTGTTATTAATTTAGCATGTTAATTTGGCATGTTTTATCAAACTTACATTTAACTTTTGACATGCCTAATCACACTGGCATGATGTGTTATGTTATATAGGCGATCGGCATTAGCCTGGCCTGCTTGAACCACACTACAGCCAGCACAGTAGGTCTTAACTCAGCCTGTGGTTAGATTAGCATGTTAGATTAAACTCACGTCTCATTTTTAATATGCCTACTTACACTAGCATGTTATGTTCTCAAAGCAATGTTTAACAGCTTGTTATTTTCATAATTACACAAAAATGTGCCGACCAAACTGCCACACTTTGAAGTGTCTTGAAAATGCTTATAGATGCTGTTGTGGCTCTACACGCCTGTTGTTATCATATGCACAAGAAAAATAAAGAATATAAAAAAAAAAAATTCTTCTCTTTGGAAAATAATAAATAGAAAAACAAAACACAAAAGGTAAATAAAAGTACGAGACAAGGACTAAAAAGATAAGAAGAAGTTGATGAAGAGAGGTGAGGAAAGAAGAGGGAGGCAGAGTCCACCACAAAATTTTAGTCTCCCCAATAAATTGCGTATGAGAATCATACTCTTGATAAAGGTCCCAGGCCAGGTCTTATAAAAAAAAAAGGAGAGGGTATAATAAACAGTAGGTGTCAATGTATCACTTATGTGGTTCTGCTCAATCTTAGCAATGAGAAATAAGAGGTCAAGTTTGTAAGCCACATCCAGAGACCACTGGGCCACCAAAGTTATCTTATTAAAAAGCTTCTGAGCACGAGAGAGAAAGTGGCTGGGGGAACAAAAACAACCTTGACACAACATTGTATGCCATGTCTCTAAATATCTTGGGAGATTTTTCCACTGTATGTTGATTTCATTTATTTTAAGAAGCATTCAAAAACAATATACTGGGAATGAGCAGTGGCGAGAATTTTTGCATACCATTATATATTTCTTTGTAGAATCGGTCAAATGTCTGAATACAACTTTAGGTAAGACTTTCTTACTTGAAAACGGGCCTGCAATTTGACTTTCTTTTTATGTGTAGTCATTTTAATCAAATGGCATGTGAAAACTGTGTTGTGTGAGGACCAGACTGTGAATTCACTAATCTCAGAGGAAGCATTATTATGAAAAAAAATTTGAAGAGTCTAAGTAACATCATCTACTACCTCATAGTCCTTTTACAGGCTGAAGTTAAGGTGTGAGGTTCACTAGAGACAGCAGAAGTATCCCTCAGATAAAGTGCAACAACAGCATTGTCTGACCAAAAGATATTGTTAGTTTCCGATTTTGAAATAAGAGGGAGCATTTTGAATTAATAAGGAGTAAATCAATGAGTGAGTATGTCCTATAGGGAGGTGATTAGAAATAATCATTCATAGTATTAGGATGTTGTGCTCTCCAGATGTCAATAAGGCCATGAGAATGTATATATTTCCTTACAACTTACCCTGATCACCCACACCATGATATCTGTCAACTCCAGGACAAGTGCTGCAGACATGGAACTGCATTACAATTCTGTCCTAACACCAAATAACTAGATGGTAGGGGTTGTATAACCTATTCAACTCCTCCCAAATTATTTTGTCAGCAATATTGAGGGTGTATACGTAAGAATACAAAATATATTATTAGTTATGAAAATACTCTAAAACCTCCCATCAGAATCTATAAATTATTAACTTAAAATATACATTTCTTAAGTAAAATAAAATCATCACCATTGTGTTTGCAAAGTGACCTAAAGTTGCAATTTCTATCAAAGTTCAAAGTGATCGGATAGAGACATGGTAAGAGACCTTGCAAGTGGGTCTCCTGAAGGCAATATCAGCCTTAGTCATTTATATCAGCAATATGGATTCAATATCAACCTTTAACCATTTCAATTATTTAAATAAACACTTTAGCTTTTTAGGCCCTTGACATTAATGGGACCCTACAGATCCCTAAAGAACTTCAGGTTGCTAAAGTGCATTATGTGTGAATAGTGTGTCCTCATTTTTCATTTTACAAAATGTTTGATTTTAAAAACATTGGCTAATTTTATAAAGTAACCTTGTTGTTTTGCTCAGTGAAGCTACATTCAATAGACAGGCAATTGCGCAGACTTCTCATTGAGCTGCATTGGATATAAATGGAATGCCACCAAAATCCTGGGATGAGTTAGAAGAGGAGGGCTTGCAAGAGACAAGATAATTATCTACTAAACAATGATATTTTGGTTTTAATGTAGTGGTGTGTCGCCTTAATGGAGACAATTTTAATAAACATGACAATAAATTAGAAGCAAAAAGCTAAGGAAAAAACTTCCAAATGGAGGGTTACCAGAACATCTTAAAGACATCGTAAAGACAGCATCACAGGTGGGGGGAGGTGGGTGGGGTGGGAGGGGGGAATGGAAGAGAGTGTATGGAGAAACCAGAATAGTACAAGAACAACAACAGTGAAGCTTACATAGAACTGTGCCTAAATGCACCAGATGGGGGTGGCTAACCCACCAAGGCTGAAATCCCCATCCATGGCCTCATTGCAGACTAGCCTTTACCTGAGA